TGATAAAATTTGTAGGGAGTTTTTAAGGGATAAAATTGTTGAATTTAGACACTCAGTCCCATAACAGTGATTCATATTTTCCACCTCAATTGAATATATTTTAAGTTTATTAATTAGTTTTTGCTTTTCCTTGCATACGTTTATATAATTTTTAACATTAATTTTGGTTTTAATTAATTTTTGCATCTTTCTAATATATTTATTAATTTTTATATATTTCTTTAATTTTCTTCTAAAGCAGGTAGTCCTTGCTGCTGTGGAAATTCGACCCTCCGGCTTGCCCACACTGGGGCGGTATTTTTGAGGCGGTGTTTAAGGTTGCAAAAACGCACCTCCGTCGTGTTATTGGCGAAACTATTTTGACATTTGAGGAGCTTGCCACTGTATTCTATAAAATTGAGGCGGTACTCAACTCTCGGCCCCTCTGTCCCCTCTCGTCCGATCCGAATGATTTGGAGGTTCTAAATCCTGATTGGCTAGCCGCCTAACGCCCTGCCCGAGTACCCCTTCAGGGAAATAAACTCTTCGCAGTTGAGCAGATTTGACCGGCTGCAACAGATGACTCAGATTTTTTGGCACCGATGGTCTCTGGAGTACCTACACCTTTTGCGGCAGCGCGTTAAGTGGTCTGACAAGACGGATCCTTCTCGGGTTGGAGACCTCGTGTTAGTTAAAGAACCCAACGCTTTGCCTTTGTATTGGCGCCGTGGGCGCATTGTTAAGTTGTCGTATGGATCGGATGGGGTGCCTAGGGTGGCCGAGGTTTTGGTTGGAGATTCGGTCTTGCAACGTGCCGTCGCGACCCTATCCCGTTTGCCAATTGACTCGCGGACATAAGCCCTTATGCCCGGGACGTGGGTTTGTTTAGGCTAAATCGTAATATTTAAAATTTGCATTCAAGACGTTCGTCTCGGCTAGCAACCGGTTTGACGGCTTGGGCCGACTGGCGTTCGTTTGTGCGCGGCGGCCGAGACCAGACTGGAAATTACGTTCGAATCGGGAGGTCGCATTCAGACCGCCTCGTATTGAGTTGTCTGTTTTGTGCGTACGTGACAACGAGGTTTATTCTTGAGTTTTGAGTAATTAACTTAAATTTAATTGCCATTAATTTGTGTCGACGAGTTCCTTGGCATTTTAATATCGTACGAAGGCATTTTAGTACGTCGTAGATTGTAATTTTGTGCTAAGTGACGTTAGACTTAAGTCCAAATAAAGTGAACGCCCTCTGGAGTGATAGCACCTTGTGGAGCAGTGCAGCGCACGTGGATCTGTTGACCGATGACATCGGTGACGTCAGGTTACATTACACACTCTCTCACACTACTTACACACTCATATACTGACCCCTGACGGCACCTTGTGGTCGACCCTACCTCCGGAACTCGGTAAGTTCATGTTTGTTTATCCAGTCATTATAATAATTATCCATAGGCATTTGGGCCCCTCCCTCTGGTTGCTCGTCGAGCGAATTACTCATGGGCCCTAGTTTAGTCGACCTTGTCGGGGCAACTGAGGGAGTGAACAAATACAGTCGGCTAATGACTGACTCCACGACCGAGACCATTCCTTAGGGACTCGTAATCTTAGTCGTCTAACCTTTTATTTTTTGAGAGGGTACGGACGAATTCTGAGTCGAACGCTTACAGGGGTCACGCCCACCTCATTATTCCCGAACCCAACGCGGTGTGGTATTGGTCTGTGAACAGAAAGACAATCATGGTTGATCTCTGTTGCAGAACAGGCGATGAGGACCTGCCGTTTCCTTTCAACTACTGCGACGCGAAAATCATTCGAATCACTCTGAAATCAAGACAAACGTTTACCAGCATCTTTAAATTCTCAAAACTATAAACTTTCCGGATATAACAGTTTCCTAAGATCTTAAGCCTCAGTGGAAGAGGAAAACCATCGACTTGGACACTGGTGATTTAACAAATCTTGAACATTTACATAACCTTTTAAAAATAAGCTAAAGGTAAATAAAAGAAAACTGAAAAATTTATCAATGTAAAATGTGTTAGCATTGGAACTATTTTGTTATATTTAATTCTAATTATGTTCATTTGTGTATTTGTAATTTATAAGTAAAAAAATTATAAATTTTTTAATCAAAATAATCAGAACGAATTTAATCATCCCTCTGATCATTTTGTACTTAAGGTGGAGGTGTTATACAGTCTGGAAGAAGCTTTTGCGTCATAACAACCTGTTGATCCCAAATTGTCCTGACTAAGCTTATGGTATTAAATTACTCGTAATCACGATATTTGCAAGTAGTAGCCATCATTTTACAGTAACATGTTGATCACGAATTGTTAAGTTTTTGATATTAGATTACTGAAAATATGTTATGAAGTGTAACGTTACAGAAGAAGCTGACTCCACGGTATAGTTGTTATTGCTGGTCAAACCAAGGCGTCATACTTTCAGTCAATATACTTGTTTTGACCATGCTATATAAGCCGTTGCATTTAGAATAAAATTCATTATAGTCCTAAGCGTAGTATGTAATCACTTAGTTAAGGAATTCAGTATTGCACTGAATTAGTTTTGATACATTATTGTAATGTAATAATTATTAAATGTCATCGAGACATTTTTTAAAAAAAAGCTTCATCACTGCTCCCGAAACTTAACTAGATTGACTCTGAGCTATGAATAAAAACAATTATAACTTATTGAGTCGAGTAACTGACGTTGCAATTTTTGTGTTTATATTTTAAGTATTTACTGTATAAGTATATATTTAATAAAAGCTTTTAGAAAAATTTTACTTCGCAAATATCCGCGTTATAAAATAAAATTATGTGTCTTACCTAGTATGAAGAGCACCTCCCGCCCTCCCTCAATTGCGTGCACTATCGCCGTCACCACTAATCCCAGCACCGCTACTCCCAACACAACTACACTAGGCAAGACACACCACTGACGGTAATACGACACGTGTTTCGCCTCTACACGAGGCATCCTCAGGTGATATAGACTCTACGGTGGCTAACCGCTAAGTGAGCGGCGAGCCAAAACAAGTGCCTTTTATACAGACCGATGACGCAACCGCTCTCTACTTAAGGAGCGAGCGACTTCGTCATGCGATAAAACATGCGACCAATCACCGCTGGACTTACGCAGCCGTTCGTAAAATTAAAAACAAACCGCCGCTCAACGCCCACCCTCCAACCACGCAACCAATCGCCGATCACCGTGAGGGTGACAAACGACCATATTGCGAGGCTCTCTATTATTAGAGAGCAGGCTTAAAGATATTTAAGAGAGGTGAGTTAGTAACATTTGTTTGTTCATTCAGCAATGCAACGGTATTATTATTACTTTTTAATAAATCTAACTGTTCCAGCACACATAGCCGACGACTTAACAATAACAAGAAAATAATCCTCACATGTTTTCCAAATTTATCGAAAGCCAACTCATACCGACACGGTCATCCCCGCGTCATCATGTCATCCGTGGCAACATAAAGTAGCTGCTTTTTATTGTTACATTAACCGTTTGTTCACTGTCCCATTAAGTAAAGAAAATCATTAACAATTTAATTAAAAAGAAACAAAAGCATGTATCGATGAACCTCAAAGCGTTCATCGATATGTGAGCAGTTTGACCTACTTAGGCCCCATATCTGAAAAAGTAACTAATACTCTTCAACAAAACGGCGTTCATATAGCGTTCAAAACAAACAATTCTCTTAGAAATATCTGTAATAATAAAGATAAGTTGGATATTCGTCAAAAGTCAGGTGTTTACAAACTTGTTTGTGACGAATGCCACGCCGTTTACGTGGGTCAGACTGGTCGCAATTTCGAGACACGTTATAAAGAGCATTTAGCCGCGTACAGGAATTGCAATCCCGATAAATCCCATTTTGCCAAACATCTTTTGCACACTGGACACAACCTAGCCAACGACCACTCCTTTAAAGTCTTACATACGTGTAATAAAGGGCTGCGGCTGTGTGTGCTGGAACAGTTAGAGATATTAAAAGTAATAATAATACCGTGGCATTGCTGAATGAACAAACAAATGTTACTAACTCACCTCTCTTAAATATCTTTAAGCCTGCTCTCTAATAATAGAGAGCCTCGCAATATGGTTGTTTGTCACCCTCACGGTGATCGGCGATTGGTTGCGTGGTTGGAGGGTGGGCGTTGCGCGGCGGTTTGTTTTTAATTTTACAAACGGCTGCCTAAGTCCAGCGGTGATTGGTCGCATGTTTTATCGCATGACGCAGTCGCTCGCTCCTTAAATAGAGAGCAGTTGCGTCATCGGTCTGTATAAAAGGCACTTGTTTTGGCTCGCCGCTAACTTAGCGGTTAGCCAGCGTAGAGTCTATATCACCTGAAGATGCCTCGTGTAGAGGCGAAACACGTGTCGTATTATCGTCAGTGGTGTGTCTTGCCTAGTGTAGTGGTGTTGGGAGTAGCGGTGCTGGGATTAGTGGTGACGGGGATAGTGCACGCAATTGAGGGAGGGCGGGAGGTGCTCTTCATACTAGGTAAGACACTTCATTTTATTTTATAACGCGGATATTTGCGAAGTAAATTTTTCTAAAAGCTTTTATATAATGAATTTCCGCAAAGTAACGCCTGATTCTATTAATTATATATATTTAATGTTATTTTACCTACATATGGTTTTGTTCAATTTTTCTACGTGGTAGAGCCATGCTGCAGCTATACTAATATAGTTGTAGCACGAAAGGGTTAGCTCGCCCGGGGAAGGACCACGCTCTCACAGAAAACCAGCGTGAAATAGTAGCTTAATGCTGCTGTGTTTCGTGTGGTGAGTGTAGAGAACCGGAGATCTTTTTTACTGGAAAAGAGGCATTCCATCTTAGTCCTCACGGGTGACAACGCATGTGCATTTTAATTTGCAAACGAATATGTAGATATCTATGGCCACAGCAACCACTTACCATCGGGTGGACTGTGTGCTCGTTTGTCACCCTTATGTTATAAAAGAAAATTGAAACTATTAAACGGACTTACCGATGCGTTATTCCTCTCTCCTCCAAATGTCGCATCCCTAAGGCGACTTGCAGAGCATATTCCCTCATCGTGCTACTATCCAATTGTAATGCAGGCTCTGCAACGTAGTGGTCTTTGCTTCTTCGATTCTCTCCATCTCCGTATAATTTTCCGTCTAATAAAGTGTGATCAGAGTTGCTTAAGTTTGTATATTCAGCTGCAAAGTTCAGAATAAGGAAGTAAAGAATATGACCTTGTATATTTAGGTACAAGAACATAAAATTCTCCATACTCATTACCTCTTAAGGAGATTAAACTTAACTACAAAGCGCAATCCCCGAATTCCTAGCAAGATATTTTGACTAACCCCATAATAAGAATGTGTCAACATCACAACGAGATATCAATGAAATGTTTCGGCTTGGATATTTTTGACTGAAACCCAGGATATTCAAAGGAGCAGTGAAACGGCTTATACTTATACACACTCATTCCCATATAACAAAGGGTTTAAATTTGTTTTTTTTTTCTAAATTTAATATGTTTTATTATATATAGTTATGTATGTCATAAATATTGTAAAGCGTAGAGTTGATCTCTAATGTGTTTTTTAATTTAGGACTAACTGTTCCCCATGACTTCGTCCGCTTGTAATTTAGAGTTTTAATTATTTAGTGCGGAACCCTAATTCTTTTTTCTAAAATAAAAGCAGTCTAAGTTACTCTTTATAACATCAGGTATTTGTCGGTGCAAGTCCCGTCAAAATCGGCCCAGCCATTTTGGAGATTAGCCGGAACAAACAGACAGACGGACCGACAGACAGACAGACAGACAAAATTTTTAAAGGCTTTTTTTGTTATAAGTATTGTCATCATCATCATCATCATTACAGCCTTTCATAAGTCCACTGCTGAACATAGGCCTCCCCCAAGGAATGCCACAAAGCACGGTCCTGAACCACTTGCATCCCTCGACTTCCTGCATGTCTTACCAGGTCGTCACTCCATCTCGTGGGGGGGGGGTTCGCCCTACACTTCGCCTACCGGTACGACGCTGCCACTCAAGATCCTTTCATCCCCATCGTCGTCACCCTGTCTTACACCTCTCTGCAATTGGATAGGTTTCGTACTCTGGTTCTGTACTCGGATAGCCATCGTAGCCCTACTGTACAAGCACTTCAGCACTTCGATATACCGACAGTCAACTTGGCACCGCTGAAAGGACTGCAGCACCGCCCAATTTTCGACGGAATCAAAGGCTTTCTCATAGTCCACATACGCCAGGCAAAGTGGCAAATTGTACTCCTCGGACTTCTGTACAACTTGCCAAAGGGTATGTATGTGGTCTATGGTGCTAAAGCCCTTTCGGAAACCGGCTTGTTCGGGAGGCTGGAAGTCGTCAAGTCTGCGTGCGAAACGATTCGTAATGACTCTCGAAAACAGCACGTAGACGCGGCTCAGAAGGGAAATCGGTCTGTAGTTCTTCAAGAGAGCATTGTCACCTTTCTTGAAGAACAAGACCACCGCACTTCTGCCCCACGCCTCCGGAGTAATTCAACCTTGGAGGACGGAATTAAAGAACCTCTGAAGGACTTCCAGTACCGGTTTTCCACCCGCTTTCAGAAGCTCCGCTGTAATTCCATACTCGTCTGGGGCCTTGCCGGTTTTAAGATGCTGGAGAGCCATTCTATCTCGCTCAGACTGACGTCCGGGATATCTTCGGAATAGTGTCGGATAAGACTCACTCTTGGATCGTTACTCACACTTGCGTGTGGCTCCAACGATGACTTGTACAGCTGCCCATAGAACCTCTCAATCTCACTCAAAATCTCAAGTGCTCCAGAAACGATACTGCCACACTCGGTCTTCAGCTTTGACAGTTGGCTCTTTCTGACAAACAGATCTCTGGCAAAGACTTTGGAGCCTTGGTTCCACTCGATCGCTTCTTCAATACAAGCTGCATTGAAGTTGCGTTAGTCCCGCCGCATGCATTTGGAGATCTGTCTGTTCAGTTGCCTGTATGCTGTCAAATCTGTTGAAGAATGTAGCTTCATCTCCCGTCTAATAAGCCATGAGATTAAGAGTGTGATCGGAGAGTTTTTGTGTTCTTCTACAGCGGGTCTTGCAGAACTTAGCTCCGACCGCATGGACAGTTTCCACGAGCTTGTCATTCATATCGTCCACTTCATTGCAGTCTTCTAGGCACTGAAAACGGTTTTGTAACTCGAGCTGAAAGGTTTCAGGACTTTGGAACAGAGCACGAGGGGGACGGAGCTTTGACTTCATTAGACGAGACCTCTCCAACTTAACGTTTAGGTTCAGTGTGCCTCTAACCATTCGGTGATCGCTACCAGTTTTCACCTTCGCGATCACGGAGACATCACTGAACAGTTGTCGTCTGGTCGTCATAATGAAGTCAATCTCATTTTTTGTCGAACCGTAGCGGCTCGACCAGGTTTACACATGGTAGAGCCATGCTGCAGCTATATTAGTAGTATAGTTGTAGCACGAATGGGTCGGCTCGACCGGGGAAGGACCACGCTCTCACAGAATACCAGCGTAAAATAGCGGCTTAAATCTGCTGTGTTTCGTATGGTGAGTGTAGAGAACCGGAGACCCATTTTACTGGAAAAGAGGCATTTCATCTTAGTCCTCACGGGTGACGACGCATCTGCATTTTGATTCTTCATTGAGGACAAATGTGGATGTTTATGGGTCACAGCAACCACTTACCATCAGGTGGACTGTGTGCTCGTTTGTCACCCTATCCTATAAAAAAAAGGTTCACTTCCTGTGGGGCCGCTTCTGGAAGAAAGAGTTCATCATAAAGAGTCCCTCTTTCTCCATGAAGTCGGCCAGCTGTTGGCCGTTGGGTTCCGTTGCCTTATTCCAAATTTACCTACTTTCAGCTCACCGTTCTCTCTTGTGCCTAGTTTTGCATTGAAGTCTCCCATTAACACCGTATATTGGGTTTTGGAGGAATGCATGGCTCTAGAGATATCCTCATACATTTCCTCCACCTCTTCATCGGGGTATGCCGAGGTTGGTGCGTAAACCTGTATGACCTTCAGCGAATACCGTTTGGTGATTCTGAGTATAAGGTACGCAACCCTCGTCGGCACACTCCCGATCTTTACAACGTTGTTAACGAGAGACTTGTGGACGATAAATCCGACACCTCCTTGGGACACCACGGATGGTCACCCTCCCGGTGATAGATGTCGTATATACTTTAATTTGCATTTAGTAAAAAGTTGTTATTTTGACATTACAAACAGATACTTTAATTTTATTTATTTGTATGGATGTATACTAGATAACAATTTGGTACAAAAGTGTTATATATTATTGTTTTAATGTATTTTGATTGTCATCTGTTTTGTTGACCATATTATAATAAATAAATATAAAAATATATTTATATTTATAACCTTCCTGATATGAAAGTGGCGTAGTATGGGTTACTGCCGCTAATAAATGCCGCTGGAGACAAAAACCTCTCCCCCTACATTTTCACAAGTATCTTAAAACTTCATATTAAGGGGAATATTTGAAATAGCCTCGCTTGGCAGGCGGGTAAGAAACCGCAGATTTCATTATTATTTTGAGTCGTCCTCAGAGAGCTGCCCACTTAGGTTTGACAGTTCCCTTTGTCGCCCCTTTCGTCTACCACGGAATGACATGGGATGGATTATCTTACGTCGCGCCGCTACTACATAGCTATCATTTGCTTAAAAAATCTACATATTATGTCATTTTGTAGAGAACTCGTAAGAAATAACGTTATTTTTTATCAATTGACGCTAACAATAATTACATAGCTCGTAGCTAGTTTTGCTATAGTTGCTAAAAATTATTACAGAACGTCTTTAATTTTTTTTAATATTATAAATCAGTGCTTGATTAAGATCCTACCGGTGGTAAGTGGTGAAGAAGCCCCAGATGCATTTCTATTGGGGATGCATTTATATCTGTGTAAATATCAGTTTGATATTTTATAGAAGAAGGGTAAAAAGAACACACTATTGATATTTGGATGTAGTGGCCCACACATCTAAGTGTGAACTAAATGCGTTGTTACCCTGAGGCCTTCCATGTTATTACATGGAAGGCCTCTTTAACAGTAAAAAAGGGTCTCCGGTTCTCTTCACTCACCATACGTAATACAAAGGCATTAAACTGTTATTTCACGCTGGCAAACTGTGAGAACGTGGTTCTTCCCCGCTCCAGCCTAGTCATATACTCTGCAGCGGTAAAATTTTGCAGATATTACGATAAAAATGTTGTTAGTGATGTTTTGTTAAAATAACTATACGAGTATCTATGGTGCAGAATTTATGTTTATAATGCGCCTTAAAATATGAGTTATTAGCAAGAAAAAAATATTGCTAAGATAAAAACTACAGGCGTCAATAACCAATAAAACTCGAGGGAAATATTTATTATGAGGACTGTTTTAAGTCAATTTTTCTACATGTATTTCTAGTGTAAATTGCCTTAGTTTTTAAAAAAGCTCAATTTCAGATCATGAATTTAGTTCAAACTCAAATAAGGGAAATGTCAAGTTAAATCCCATGGACTCAAATTGAGTTGGAATGTTCTCCTCGTAAAATACCAAGTTATGAAGAAGAGATCTGCTTGTGAATTTCTTGTCGTTTCTTCTCCCAAGGTTTCCCGTAGTAGAAACTTTTTGAAGTGATGTCATAGCTTTAAAAAGTGCTTTGTAGTAGCTTTGTGGTAGCTTTAAAAGTAGCTTTAAAAAGTAGTTTGCCAATCTAATGTATAAAAATTAATATTTGTTTGTTCGTATTTTATGCGCTGCCATACCGTTCATCAGATTGCAGTAAAACTTTGTCAACTTATTGCTAGCATTTCCGCGAAGGTTATAGGCGTAGGACAATAATTAAAGTAGGTAGCGCACGTATCGTACCGACAAATTTATTTGAAAGTTATGTATCATTCAAATTCATTGCATTATCATTCCATTCAAACAATATAACTGTTCAATACAATCTAATTATTTCTTCTGCGGCAGCTATGGGCCGGGTACCAGCTAGTTATCAATAAAAATCGACTTTTCTTTGACATTGAAGAATTCTGATGAACTTAATGATGATTATTAGATAGGTGTTGTAAGTACTGTTGTTGATATTGTTCAGGATTAGTCAGTAATACATTTTATATTACTTACATTCACACTCGGAGGGTCTGCCATTCACATCGCTGTCCTTTTTAAGGCTTGGACGCTGTATACCGATACGTCTCTCTCTAGCAGCACGCAAAAGAGAGAACAGGTCTCCCCTTGGCGCGTGCTCTAACAGGGCTATAAGCGGCGCTCTGGTGGTGCAGCAACCGATTAGTCTGATCACGTTTCTATGGTAGCCGACGTGTTTTAGCATTTGTATTTCGCGGAGGAAATCTTGCATTTCTTCCTCTGTGGCGTTGTCTGTGGATGACAAAATGTAAATTCTGCATTCTAAATATTTGAACCTTATTAAAATTATAGACAAAGTGGTGCTTCAAGACTCTTTCTCGACGATCGATTATATATATATATATATACATATGTATACACGTCTGGGCATTGGCCTCGCTTTGACATACTATATGTCGCTGCTAAGCACAGAACACGCAATAGCTGTGGTGCTAGGTAATATTACTATAGTATAATAGTATTAATTACTTGTGAATACATACATAGGTTTATCCGATCCTTATGTTTAACTTTCTTACAATATTATAAGCGTGAAAGATTGTCTGTTTGGATGCTTATCGTGAAATCACGATGAAAAGACCTAATGAATTTTCATGAAATCTGGCAAAAAGGACATAGAAAGTTTAAAAAAAATAGTAGTTAAATTAACGCAAACGCAGTTTGTGTAGTCGGTCTAGGGACTTACCGACGGCATTACTTTCATTTCCTAGACATCTTTATATAATGCTAATTGTGCATGTGAGAAAAATTAATTGCGTTTCTTGAAGACATTCTCGAAAGGTAGAGAGTCAACTGAGAGGTCGTAAAAACTATTTAATTTCTTTTTATAACGTTACTCCAATACTAGAAATTTCTCCTGTATATTATGTATGGAGGCGGTTTTCATAGAGTTTTCATACCTACGTAGATAAACTTGAAAATTAAATTTGGTAAAAATTACCTCGCGTAAATCCGTTCGATAAACTTAGCGGTCAGTCACCATAGTCTACATCACCTGAAGATGCCTCGTGTAGAGGCGAAACACGTGTCGTCAGTGTGTCTTTCCTAGTATAGTGGTGTTGGAAGTAGTGGTGCTGGAATTAGTGGTGACGGGGATAGTGCACGCAATTGAGGGAGGGCGGGAGGTGCTCTTCAAACTAGGTAAGACACATCCTTTTATTTTATCGAGCGGATGCACGCGAGGTGATTTTTACCAAATTTAATTTTCAAGTTTATCTACGTAGGTATGAAAACTCTATGAAAACCGCCTCCATACATAATATACAGGAGAAATTTCTAGTATTGGAGTAACGTTATAAAAAGAAATTAAATAATTTTTACGACCTCTCAGTTGACTCTCTACCTTTCGAGAATGTCTTCAAGAAACGCAATTAATTTTTCTCACGTGCACAATTAGCATTATATAAAGATGTCTATTTTCACCAATTTTAATATAATGGATTTCCTCAAAGTAACGCCTGATTCTATTAATTATAAACTTGAAAAGTAAAAGGCGACAAAGTGAAATTAAGAATTTCTTTCGAAATTAGATGCCCACATTTGTCCTGCCTATCGCCGAATTGCATATTTACGTCTGTGTGGTTATACAGACAGCCTTCGGAAACCGTAAGATCAGTTTGGTTATTTTGTATAGCCGTATCACCATAACGTAAAATAAAGGTCTTTATCAGCTAATAATAGTACACTGCTGGAATTGAAAAAGTACACAGCTGAAAATGAGCCACTTCCGTTATAGGAAGGTGCCTTAGTCGGCACGCTTAGCAACTAATTGATGATCGGACCACCAGACGTCTCGCACTTTAACGCGGTCGCCGGTCTAGTAATTTCACGCTTGGCGTATACGAGGTGATCTGCTATCGGAAGCCAAGCTCTCATAGAATACCAGAGTAAAATAACAGCTTATGCTGCTGTGTTTCGTATGGTGAGCGTGCAGAACCAGAGACCTCTTTTACTGGAAACGAGGCATCCCGTCTTAGTCCTCAGGGGTTACATTTATCCTCGATTAAGATTTAAAATGCAGACGCATTGTCACCCCAAGTACACACCAAGTACTTTGTCATCCTTATTCTACAAAAAAGCCTTAAGATTTTTTATGGCACCCATGGGACGAAAATTGGTAATTTAAATTCTTACACCACCATTACACGGAAACGGCAACTCCTATATACCTGATAGCATTTTCGCAGCGACAATGGTGGTCTCCCCGCCTGGCATATCAAGTTCCGCAAGGTGCACCCTACCGAAAGCACCACTTCCGATGAGAGCGCCGAGATGTACCCTGGAGCGTGTCACTTCCCACTCATTGGAGTCTTCTCCAGCTGTCTGTAATTGCTTACACTGTTTGTAAAATGTTAAGACCAATTAATTTATACCATATTATTTGCATTTAAATTATATTATTAAATGAAGGACTGTAATGATGATGACGATGATGGTATATTATTAAAATGTTACAAGACTCTCTATAGTTTATATACATATAATAGAGAGTCAAGTAACTTATTCAGTAAATAGATTATTCCAATTTATCAAGTGAAGAAATTAAAAAGTAAATTCAAAATATAAAATAAATATTTCACTTACTACAAACTCTTTGTGGATGTAAAGCGGGCTGTTTTCCATTTGACCTCGCGACGGCAGGTCGCCGGTTCTGAAAAAAAAAATAGTTTATATAATGAAGCCGGGGTACCTTAAGGACTGTGTAGTGGAGGCGTTAGAGAATCCATTGCACTATTTCGTCCCGTATGTGTCGGAAGAGGTAACTATGGCATATACCAAAAAGTTTACACACCGTTACCGTTACAGCCTATTCAAGTCCACTGCTGTAAATAGGCGTCCCCCATAGATTGCCTCATGGTCTCAATATCCCCAATAATTGTCATAGTAGCCGCTTGACAAACGGGTTAGTAACCGAAGATTTTTTATTTTTAATCGTTATTAGGAAGACGCTGTTGCCCATCTCCTGATTAGTTTTCCTCTGTCGCCTCTTACGACACCCACGGGATGATATGGGGTAGTAGATATTCTTAAACCACCACTACACGGTAAAATAAAAAAAACATGAGAGCAGTTCACACGCATTTGAACTGAAACCTTCAGAACATTGCGAGTAGAATTGCTTTGGAACAGCGTAAAACCAACTTCATTCAACAGATAAAGTAATTTTTTCTAACAAAAATTGATTGACTCTCGAGGTGGTGAAATAGACGCACATTTAACATTTTTAAATGTGCGTCTACAACAATTAACACAACTAATTTAATATAAATCAGTTAGTTATGAAATCGTGCATTAATAAGAATGGATTAATAAGTTAATGTTATTCAATATGGTTCATTTTATTTATTCAGTAAACTTTTAATATTTTTATCTATTTATCTTAACAGTTAAAAATTATTCACCTATGAATTATTCACCTATGAAGCAACGCACAAAGAGGAGAGCGAGTTAATAGGAAACTATGAAATTGTAGATTGTGTTCTATCTTATTCTCTCGCAGGCTATATATATTTGTCTTTTTTTAGTGTCGCTTTCTTACTTTTTCAAGCGTAAAATAATCAGACCAGCGACGGGAAGCAGCGTTAAAGATGTGAAACATTTGGTACTGCGATCGTGAATTCGCCTGCCAAGTGTTGTAACCAAGTACAACGGGAGGGGATCATCTCCAGCTATTGATACTTCAGTGGTTTTTTGTATAGAATAAGGGTGACAAAAGAGCACACAGTCCACCAGACGGTAAGTGGTATCTGAGGCCTATAGACATCTACATATATCTCAGTTAAAAATCAAAATGCAGATGCGTTGTCACCTAAGATGGATTGCCTCGTTTCCAATGAAAATGGTCTTCGGTTCTCTACACTCGCCATACGAAACACAGCAATAATGAGCTTTTATTTTACACTGGTAATCTGTGGGAGCGTGGTCCTTTCCTGGTCGAGCCGAGCCATTCGTCCTACAACCATAATATAGCTGCAGCGTGGAGCTCTGTGAACTTGTCACTCGAAATAAAAAAATATAAAAAAAATATTAATTCATACATATTCTACAAACAACGCCATCTGCGTACGTACGCAGATGATTGTAATACCGTTTATTCGTTTGAAGTCCTAAAAAATTTTCTGATATTTACTAAAAGTTATATAATTTTCGAAAAATCTTGATAACCAATGCGTTAAGAATCGTTTGTAGATGACTGTAATACTAAAAGATTTTTATTGTAGATTTTTTATTCTAAAAAGTGTTATAATTTGAAAAAAATTGTAAATAAAACTAATTTTACGGATTTTATCGCGTATGTTAACTTATTTTACATTCCCGACGTTTCAAGCACTTTACAGCACCCATGGTCACGGGGGCGACTGAGGTGTATGACGTCCCAATGTCATAGTTAACCACGGCTACCTCCAGATTAAAAATTATTAATTTTTGATCCGATCTACGCAGTATGAACCAAGATTCCACAAGCGATACATAGACGACACTTTCACAATTCTACGTTTAGATAAAGTAACTGCATTTCTAGACCATCTTAACTCTTTAAATTCTAAAATTCAGTTCACAATGGAGTTAGAGGCAAACAATTCTTTAGCTTTTCTAGATGTGTTAGTAATTCGGAATCCTGATAACACCTTGAGCCACACTGTGTATAGAAAAAAGACCCATACAGGTAGATATTTAAACGGTGATTCTCACCACCATCCTTCACAGTTAGCTATCGTGGGTAAATCTTTGTTTCAGAGCACGAGGGATCTGTGACAGTAAACACCTGGCCGCCGAGCTTCAACACGTCAAGCAAGTTTTGCACGATAATAAGCTTCGGGTCCCGCGCCTACGTCACAGTGAACGAGTTAAGCCGGCCACAGTCGAGCGAGTGCCTGCTGTACTGCCATATGTCAGAGGTGTCACTGACAAGATTGGCTACATCTTGAAGCGTGCTTCCATTAAAACATATTTCAAGCCGCCGAACAAGATTAGTCAGTTTTAACCATCAGTCAAGTGTAATAGTCCTCTGCAAGATGCAGGAGTGTACAAGCTTGATTGTAAATGTGGTCTCTCTTATATAGGACAAACTAAAAGATATATAAAAACCCGCGTTAAAGAACACATAGCTGATGTGAAGAATAGGCCCTCCGGGAAGTCTGCAGTCTGTGAACACGTACAGGATCGCCTCCGTCACTACATTAGATTTGATAGACCACAAATCCTCGCTAAAGAACACCGATTCCTTCCAAGGATGATTCGCGAGGCTATTGAAATCAAGAAACATCCTAATTTCAATAGAGAAGATGGCTGGTTGCTACCATCTGCTTGGGATCCCAAAATTAATAAAATTAAATCCCAACCCAAGCATACAACTGCAAGACTTCATGATACTATAAGTTCATACTGCGTAGATCGGAACAAAATTAATAATTTTTAATCTGGAGGTAGCCGTGGTTACTATGACATTGCGACGTCATACACCTCAGTCCCCCCCGTGACCATGGGTGCTGTAAAGTGCTTGAAACGTCGGGAATGTAAAATAAGTTAATATACGCGATAAAATCCGTAAAATTAGTTTTATTTAAATGTGTAGTGTTCGCGTAAATATGAGAAATCAAAAATTGTAAAGATAATAAAAATTGATACATATTCTACAAACAACGCAGGTGATTGTAATAACCTTCATTCGTTTGTAGTCCTAAAAAATTACTGAAAATCACTAAAGGTTGTAATTTTTCATGAAATATAATAATTTTCGAAAAATCTTGAATACTAATGCGTAAAGATCTACAAACGATTGTTAACGCATTGGTAATCAAGATTTTTTTTAAATTATCATATTCATGAAAAATTACAATTGTTAGAAACTATCGGAAGATTTTTTAGGACTACAAACAAATAATGGTATTACAATTATCTGCATCATTTATAGTTCATTCGAATGATAGTTTTTTTTAATAACAATATCTGTCAAGATTCAGGTCCGGTAATAATTTTTTTTAGTAATACAATCATCTACAAACTATGCTGAATGCATTTATATCAAAATTTTTCGAAAATTATCATATTTCATGAAAAAATACAACTTTTAGTAATTATCAGAAGATTTTTTAGGACTACAAAGGAATAAACGGTATTACAATCATCTGCGTTGTATGTATGAATTATTATTATTTTTTTTTTAATTTCGGGTTCCAAGTTCGCAGAGCTGCAGCGTGGCTCTAACGTAAAATAACTGCAAGCTGAAGAAGGACTACTTTTTTTTTGCGTTATGTTTTTTATGTTTTATAAGTTACTTCTTTTCGCGTATGCTTTGAAAATAATATTAAAATTTTACATGTCATCTTCCCCTGCCTGATGTGGACTCATGTTACAACATTTTTTTTATTTTTTCTCTTATTTTGATACGAGTGGTGACGACGGTCTGTTGCTGGTGGGTACTGTGGCCTGTCTTTTTTATTATTTTTTTCCCATTTTGTTTATTTAAGTAATTTATATTTAGTATTAATATTTAATATACAATATGTCTTTTCAAGATATAAGCCTAGACCACTCCTTTTCTCACCTTCATCCTCTTATGGATTGAATAGTAGTAACAGCTTCCACAGTCTCCCTTCTTTTAATCAAACATTAGATTCGCACTTCTCAGATCTACTGAAAAATTTCAACATTTTACATATTAATGTCCAGAGTATTCCAGCACATTACCCAGACATGCTCTCCTCATTTGATAACAAAAACCTGTTTGTCCTCCACACCATATGCTCATCCAGGCTTTCAACTAATAAGGAATGATCGTATTACTCGGGTTGGTGGAGGTGTTGCTATCTACCTTCGCTCACACTTACCATTTACAATTATAAGCATGTCAAATGACCAGGACACTTCAGGAGCTGAACATTTAATTTTAGAAGTTTTTTTTCTGGTTCTAAGCTACTACTTGTTTTACAATCCTAGCCTTACAATTAACTACTTTCCATCGAGTAAAAATCACTTAGACAAATATATTTCACTGTATCAGCACTCTATAAGCATAGGTGATTTTAAAACGTGCCTTCTAAAAAGTGACTAGCGCTCCTTTCAATTCAAATCTATATAGCTCAAGCAACTAACTTACATATTCTTCCCCTTTCTGCTACTAATTTTTTCCAAATTGTTCCCCATCTCTTTGAACCTTATTCTTGTTTCTTCCATTGAGAAACATGTTGATAAACATGTTCAGGGTCCTGCTGATTCATTTTCATATCACGACTTGATCTACTTATCATACAAATTACGACCACCTAAACCTAAATCGAGAATCCTTCTGCTGCGTAATTTTGATGGTATGGATTTAGATCGTCTGAGAGATGATGCTGCGATGATCGACTGGAATGTTGTTCTTACTGGAGTTAACATTGACGAAAGGGCCGATAGCTTTAATTCTCTATTAACACAACTCTATGACGTTCATGCTCCAATTTGGCCCGTCCAGATTAAGCATTTCCTGCACCCTGGCTTACTCAGGAGATCAAAAATTTGCAGCGTAAGAAAAATTTTTCTAAAGCTGGGTATAAATTTGATAACTCTGATACTAATAGAAATAAATATAAAAATATTCGGGATCACAGCACAGCTTGTGTAGAGATAAACAACGATGCTATATTCATATCAATCTATACTCGATGA